AAAAAAAGTGCAGTCTCAGGGTAGCGGCATGCGGGCACAACTAGAAGCTGTGTTCAAGAAGTTCCTCAACACTTCTTCCCAGAACACCTGGATTGCCTCAATCTGAACCTGATGTCCCCCACAGACTCCAGTAGAAACACTCTTAGGCTCACACAGGAAGTGTAGAATGCAGGGAGAATATTGTTAAGTAAAAAAAGGACCCTTTTCTGTTGAACTCTGGAGGAAGGAGAAATGGTATCCTTCAGCCAAAAAGGTATCGGAGAAGAAACTAATTTCTGGCCGTTAATTTGCATAAAGGTATCATAAAATCATCACTTATTATTATGGCCCTCTGGAAGTACACAGCCATAGGTCGTTACTCTGGGCAAAGGCAGATTTAGAGAGACAACAGAATTAGAACAACGACTTCCAGGTTCCGAAGGATATCAACCCCAAGCCGTCTGATTTTGGTACCACGTTTGCCCTTTCTTTACTCCTCCATGGGGGGAAACAAAAAAAACTCTCCCAAACAAGCGACAGAACTATATGGCACATTAAACATTTTCGGTCGGTCGTGAACTACTTTTGTTTCGAGAAATTCTTGTTGCCCCTTAATAGAATAGGAGATTTAATGGTTTCCAAAGGCAGGCATTTGGGAATCACTGATTTGGAAGTATGAGTCCCTATCACACACCGACCCAATAGACATTGGACTCAATAAATGTTTCAAGGCAGAGGAGTAATCATCCTTCTAAGGAAATGACCAGATTCCCTGACACCTGTTTGACATGGAGCAGATGGAAGAAAATAAGAGCCTAAGTACTTATGTATCGAAGGAAGGATAAAGCTAAGAAGATGCATATTAGTGAGTCTTTACCGTTTCTCAAATTTTAAAAACTTCACTCCCATTAAAATGTATTTCTACATTTTTTTGGACTATAAATCTTAGCCTCTCCATGAAATGGCCAATGTTAGAAGGCAAGAGCAAGGCAAATGAATTATCTTTAAAATGTTTAAATAATTTTGTATATTAAGAAGCCCGATTTTTAAAAGTTGATCCTCATTGCAGTTCACCCTGATATGTGACGAAAATCATGGAAAAAGAACATTCCTTCCTCGTTTTTCTCTTCCCAAAGTTCTGATACATTACATTTTATAAAGCATGATCACTCTGGAATTTGCACTCCTTACTTAGAAAAAGGGTGCCATCTCTGGTACACCCCAAAGGTCTTAAAATAAAAATAAACTTCCTGGAGCAGTATAAAACATCCCGAAACAATCTGTATGTACCAAAAAAAAAAAAAATGACATCAAAGTTGATTTCTTTTATCCATGATTGACACATTAGAAGTTTTTACATGATGAGAAATCTGAAAATTTTCACCTCATCAGAAGTTGCTGTGTAAAATGTCTAGAGGAATCAACCACTTTCTGAAACTGATTCTATGTGATCAATAACACTACAAGAGAAAGAAATGATTTAATCAATGACTCTAACTTATGACTCTTACCTGTTAGTGTATTTCTAGAAATTACAAATTTATCTGTGGAAATGGTTTTACATTCTATAGACATATATTAGCAAGCCATGAATAACATTAAATTTACTATAACAAAAATTGACTACGTTCTCTGCCATTCCTTTGCCAAAAATTATATCCAGAGATCGTTAGATATTAAATAATAAATTTCCTCCCCCAGATCACGTAGCTCTAATTATCAAATACTTAATACTGCTGGTAAATCTCATACACCTGGGCTTCCCTGGTGGCGCAGTGGTTGAGAGTCCGCCTGCCGATGCAGGGGACACGGGTTCGTGCCCAGGTCCGGGAAGATCCCACATGCTGCGAGGCGGCTGGGCCCGTGAGCCATGGCCGCTGAACCTGTGCGTCCGGGGCCTGTGCTCCGCACCGGGAGAGGCCACAACAGTGAGAGGCCCGCGTACCGCAAAAAAAAAAAAAAAAAAAATCTCATATACTCGAGCTTATAAATCAAGTAAGATTACTGTGCTCTGAACACTTTCAGAATTGAGTTTGTGTATAAAATGATCTCTTACATACATACAGACATGTCTGTAAGATAATTAGAGCTACATGTAAGCAGGAGCCAAATTATTTGCAGATGGTCTTATCTTTCCTCCAATGGTCAAATAAGCCTTACTTAGCGGGTAGAGACTCTTTCGAGATCAAAGTGTTATATTCCTGGAATGAAAGCTCTGAGGAATGTAAATGCTATCTCTGAACAGGGCTGAGCAGAAAAATATAATCGAGGCAACAGAGAAATATCTGGAAGTACCAGGCTTGGGGCCTTTCCACTGAATGTTCAAATCGAGCTGCTTCTTAGCCTGTTACCTTAGTTCCAATTCTAACAGTCCCCAGTTCTTCAGAACTCAATAGCCACTGTGTGTGTGTTGGCGGGTACAGGAGGAGGAGGGGGAGACGGAGAGAGAAAGACAAGGTGAGAAAGAGAGAGGGAGGAAGGGAGGGAGGGAGAATGAATAGCTGAACACATTGAAACCAGTCCTTGCAATTAGCAGACTGGACCTTTCAAGAACAAAGAAGAACTTGAAATGTTAAAGCTTAAAACTCAGTTTTTTGGGTTTTTTTTTTTTTGCGGTACGCGGGCCTCTCACTGTTGTGGCCTCTTCCGGTGTGGAGCACAGGCCCCGGACGCGCAGGCTCAGCAGCCATGGCTCACGGGCCCAGTCGCTCTGCAGCATGTGGGATCTTCCCGGACCGGGGCACGAACCCGTGCCCTCTGCATCGGCAGGCGGACTCCCAACCACTGCGCCACCAAGGAAGCCCCAGTTAGTTTTAAGTTATAAAACTCACATATTTTTTCTCAATTGACTACTGTGTTTATCTGTCTTAAGTAACTTATTCACGATGCTCTCCTATTCCTCACCGCGAGCGTTTCGAAGGGAGAAAATACAAACATTTTTCTTATTTTTTTTGCCCCCAGGAGGCTGCCTCAGCTGGCAGCAGGAAGAGGCGGGAAAATTTGGTGAGAACAGTTGAAGAGGCACAGATGACCCTTTTGCTGAGTCTTTAATAGAGGTATTCACTGGAGTTAACTGCTCTAACCAAGCCTTAGGAGGTTTTTTTTAAGGAAAAAAACACAAAATTCTGGTCCGTGGGTTCACTTTGCTAACAGAGTAGACAGAACAGTTTATATCTCCCACTCCATCCCATTTTTGGCAGACTATAACAACAAAAATTAATGGGCTTGAGAATGTGAGTACATATGTTTTCTTAATTTTTAATTAAATTTTCAAAATTCAATTCATGAATTTTGAATATATTTTAAAAATTCATTATTAACTTCAGCGGGGCTTTTAAAAAACGCTACACCAAGTTCTTCTGCACTTCAGCAGGTCTCAGGTCCCAATTCCTCGTTTTCAGATGGCAGGCCTATTTTTATTTTTATTTTTTTTATTTTTTTTTTTTGCGGTACGTGGGCCTCTCTCTGTTGTGGCCTCTCCCGTTGTGGAGCACAGGCTCCGGACGCGCAGGCTCAGCGGCCATGGCTCACGGGCCCAGCCACTCCACGGCATGTGGGATCTTCCCAGACCGGGGCACGAACCCGCATCCCCTGCATCGGCAGGCGGACTCTCAACCACTGCGCCACCAGGGAGACAGGCCTATTTTTAAAGAGCCAGTTTATACTTTAAAATCTATGTCCGAGTACACACACGCTCACACACGTGGACATATGCAAAGACAATGTTTTGAAGCACCTTTCACATCTACCATCAGGAAAAATAATGAACAAATTCATCTTCTCATTGTAATTCTACTATGACGGGTAATAATGCAATATACAATGCCATATTTTAAATATAAATATCAGTAATGAAAGTACTGACAGAGCTTAAGACTCTGTTCAGAAATATTTTAAAAGTAAGGCTCAAATAACTGTGTAGATTCCAAACACGCTATTTACTGATCAGTCCCTAATGATTAAACAAATATAAAAGAACTTATTTCAAGATCAAATAAATAGAATTCTACAACGAAACTCAATGAATGAAACGATCTTTAACTGAACACATGCAAAACTCCACAATACAACTGCTTTTATCCTTATGGCCTGATGCAAAATGCAAGTACAAAATGGAGAACATCTATGTACTTTGCTTTTTAGCTTTCCACTTTTAAGGCTACTTGTTTAAGGAAGACCTCTGCTTTACAGGATCTTGGCACATTAAAGGATAACATGGCTCCCTAATTTGGAGAACAAGACATGACACTCGGATAATTTATGAATTGTTATAATTAAGAAAGAAGCCTCTACCTAAACCAAACCTTGGGAATACAGGTTGATTAAACAACTCATTTATTTGCTAACTGCTTGACTTGAATCATGGACATTCATTCTACATTAATTCAACACCTGCCATGGGTAAGAAACTGTTCTAGATGCTGACACTGGCCCATACTTGGTTATGAGCCATTGTGTTATATCAAACTGTCTGTATTTTTGGAAAGCAACTCAATCAGCTCGACTATTTTACAAATTATCAACAATCAAGTTTAAAATCTAGGTTCCTTCCTACCACCCAGGACACACCAAGATGATCTCCCTCAACTTCCAGCCGATTAATATCTAGGGAATGTCAGATTACAGATCAAACTTGAAAATGTAAATCTGCTTGGAAAATTTTTTAAAAAGTACACCACGCAGTTAAAAATGAAAGATAATTTGTTTTCGACGACCCAGTATTTGCCTCAACTCTGACACAGCTTCCCTACATTCAGAAGATAACTGACAATTTATTATACAAACACAAGGAGATACACTCACACAATCTCTCTCTTCCTGTGCACATGTGTGAATACACACACAAATATATTTGTAATCTCACCCATTACATTTATGTTTAGTCAGTCAGTATTTAAACAGCTGAACTGCAATCATGACCTAAAATATGGCTTATGTTGTGGGCAGGTCTGTTTGAGGACTGCTTGGAAGAGTCTGAGGCAGAGGAGTTTGCTATCGTAAGCAAAGGTGACATGGCTGAGCCGTCAGGGAGAGCTGTAGCTATTTCTGGAAACAAAGATGTCATGTTAAAATTGGATAAGTGAGAGTTGGTCATGTGCATTGGGGGCATGTCAGGCAGAAGAGGAAAACTTGGTTGAGCAAAACCAACAGGTCTGGGAGGAGATAAAATTGATCCAAATCGGTTATTCAAGCTTCCACTGTTTACCTTCTCTGTGCTAGGATTCGAGAACATTTGATTAGAAAAATAGGGGATTGAAATATCGTTGGACAGTGTAGGATGAGCAGGAGAGTATGGGGGATAGAAGGAGGGGAGAGTATTTTGGGGATCTACAGGGATGAGGGCTGGAGTCCGAGTGGCACTAGGCTGAGTAACCTGTGGAATGAAAGAAGTATTAGCATTTATTGGTGGATTCATGCCACCCTCGGGAATAAATGGAAAACCAAAATTTTGTGACAGTGTATGCTGGTCAGGCGCTGAATTATCATTAGGTACTTGTGGGCCATCAGGCATGAAACGAACAATACTTCCTCTCTTTTCTGTAGTGGGTTGTTGGCGTCCAAGAATCATACTGCCACTAGTAGACAGAGGAAGATGCGGAAGACTCGGATCAAAGACATTACTGTGTCTTTGGTTTCCAGAGCGATTCCTTTCAGGCTGACGAATTTTGGAACCGCTGCTGTCTTGCAAAGGATGCCTCGATCGCTGGGGAACTGAAGAACTAGTTTGACGTACAGGAGGCCCTTGGTCAGCACTTCCGTGAGACACAGACGGATGCAGCAAACCTGGCCTTGCAACCCCATGCATGTTGGCTGTGACTGGAGGGTTCATGTGGCCCTTGGTCCCGTGACTGTCAGTAATCCTCATGGGATTGGACTTCTGTACAGAAACGTTGGGACTTGTGTTTCGACCTTGAATATCTCCTGAGGAAGAAGAACTCGAAAACGGAATATTCAAAGTGCTGTTCCTGGTGTTAATTGCACCCAGGGACATGTCACAACTCTCCCTATTCTGACTCTCACTCTCTCTTCTAACATGGACACTTTCATGAGTTGGGGGACAATTATATTCGATTGCAGAGGAGGGACCACACTGTGTATTCCTCTGATGCTCTGGGAGTGGTCTCTGGCTCCCAATGACCTGATCACCCAGGTGAGGGGCAAGTAAACTCTGCATGAAACTTTGGTGACATGTATTTTCACTGTCCCTTGGTGGGACAGCATTTCCTGTTGGGATGCTCTGAACTGGTGGGTAAGGTAGTCTCTTTTGGCGGTCAATTGGTGGTGGACCAGGGTTTTGGCTAATTCGAAAAGCCTGGGACTGCATACTCCTCAAGGATGACACAGGGTTACCTATTTCATTATTTCTTGAAGACTGCACTTCAAAATTACTCTGGGGCTGCTGACTGGCTCCGCTTGGCTTAAATGTCTGACAGTCAGAAAGGCGGATATCTGAGGTAACAGGATGGTCCACACGGCCCTGCATATTATGAATGGCCAAACTCTTATTTCTGGGAACATCAAGGTAGCTTCTCATTTCAAGCTGATCTGAAATTCTGGAACCCTGGATCGATATACCCATTCTCTGCTCTGAATTGGAAGATGTCTTTCCAATGAGTGCCTCCGCAGAGTAACTTGAAACTCTATTTCTCTCTGGCCTGTGTGGAGTACAAGTCATGTCTGAAGGTCTCGTCACGATACTCGGTTGGGACACCATTTGCTGCTCTATGCCTCTTGATGTCAGAAGCCTCTGCATTGGATTATGCCCAGATACGTGTTCAGAAGAAAGCCCCGCACCTTGCTGCCGGCTTCCCACCTCCTGCTGGTGCATGATGTCTTGACTGAGATGGTTATGGTGACTGCGGCTTGTGGAAGGGTTTTCACGACTCTTCTCTGGCTGGGAGCTTCCAAAGTGTTGCTGCATCTGTTGCTGCATCTGCTGATGGTGGGGGTGTGGCTGACCGCTCTTGGGTCGGGATTGGTCAGTTCCATGGTGCTTGGGTTGTAGAGAAAGCTGAGAGGCCTGAGTGCCCTGAACAAGAGTCCTCTTTTTCTGCATCTGAACTTCCTGTTGCAGGGTTCTCTGTTGGTGGACGTGGGGCTGAGAGTGGACAGAGCTCTCCGCGTGAGGTACGTGATGCTGCAGTTGATATAAGTGATGCCTCTCTCTTAACTGCCCCGCTTGCTGCTGCTGCTGCTTTAAGTAGAGATGGTTACTATGCAGGTGAGGCACCCCTTGAGCTGGCACATGCTGCTGCAGAGCCTGCAGATGTTGGCTGGCCTGCGTTTGCTGCTGCTCAGCCACGGAAGGCTGCGAATTGCACTGAACCTCAGTTTGCCTCAACGCAGGGGCCACAAAGTTGTTACCAGGTGGGAATAACCGCGTAAGGCCATCTCCATGTGCTGGGTTGCTAATAGGCACAACTGAGTTTGACGAGTTGGGAGGGATCTGACTAACCATCATCTGAGTTTGATCGGAAATGCTGTCTGGAGCTCGGCTCATCAGGGACAGACCTTCAAGCCGGAGGGGAGCCGGTTGACAATGCTTTTGACGTTTAGCTGAAGACAGTAAAAGGTCATCTTGGACAGCACGCTTAGCAGAGTTTTTGCGGCTTTCATGACTTGGCTTTAAGAGTGGCTCTTGAATCTGTGGATTTGGTATGGTACCAGCCATAGTACTGAGCTGTTCTTGGGAGTATTCGGTCATCAGAGATGGTCCAGGAGGCTGACTGCCATAGGAGCTAGATGAAACCGTCAGATTAACCGTTACAGGAACAGCTGTTTGCTCTGAAGTTTGGGATAAACCAGCGCAGCTGACCAGAGGATGGCTGATGCTGCTCTGATGGATAAGATTATTCACACTTAAACTGGTGATGCTTGGTGGCTGAGAAGTCGAAACCTGTAAAGAGGCATTTGATGTTTTCATCCCTATAGAACAACTTGGTTTTTCAAGGGGCTGACCCACAGTTGCTTCAATTGAATCCTGAGAATTAAATTCATTTGGTGTCGCTTCTGCCTGTCCTGGGCCATTCTCTTTAGATATCTGGGTTTTGAAAGGCTGGTCTCCCTCTAAAGAGGATGCTTCAGAAGGCTTTGAAGGAACTTCCCTTATATCAGCCTGGGCGCCAGCTCTTCCCTTCTCAAGGTTCTCCTGGTCAAAAATAGCTCTTGCTGCAAGAGCTACTATATCAGTTTGCTCTACAAAGGTACAGCTGTCACACGTATTAGTCGTTGCATTGCTGGTGACATCCTCTCTAGTTGTTTCAGGAAGCATGGATGCAACTGAGAAACTACGACTACTGCCAGAGCTGGTTGACATGGGGGAGTCAGCCTGCCTACTGGTGAGCAAAGAACCATTAATAACCTCCTGATCAGGGATGCAGGAATGATGTGGTCCTGGATCTCTGTCATCACTGCTCATCAGTAATAGCTCCTGTTTGGGATGTAAATCAACACTCGAATGGACTATTTTAGAATCTTCTGAAGAAAAGTCAGGATGGTCCACCTGGACTGAAAGAGATGATTTCTGAGGGTCTTTTTCTTTAGCAAGACCAGATAGCAGTGCAGTTAAACCCTGCCCCTTTAAGAGACCTGTGGTTTGCACTGTAGCTGATGAATCTTGCTCAGCCCTGCAAGGTTCAGCAATGACTTCTACCTCAGAAACACAGTCAGTACTTGCAGTGCTCGTGGCAGATGACAAATCAGAAACCTGAGAAACCAAAACGTGGGGATCATTCGCAGACGAAATCAACACGTTGGCTGAAGTGCAGGATTTGGCAGCATCTGGCAATGCCAAACTAGTTGGTGGCTTATCCTGAGATGTCTCTCGTTGGAAAACGGGGAGAGAATCTTTGGATTTTGCTGGGGCCATTGTAAAATGTTCACTTGTTACAGATTCTTGGGAGGATGAGCTAGACTCTTCTGCTGACTTAGATTTGGGTATGGACTCAGGTATCACTGATTCAGAATTCAGAACATCCAAAGAATGTGAGCCAGAAACACTTACACTATTTACCTGGGACATAGTGACAGATGGTAACACACCAGGGAGGCTGTCCAGAAGTCCATCATTACACGATGGCTCTGTGGAGCCTTCGGTGCTGGGGCAGTCTAACTTACCCACATCTCTGGCTGGGTTCAGGGTGCAGGCTGACTTATTAGTGGCTACGTGTTTCTTGACACTCGGCTTCTTATTCAGCCTTTTGGGCTTCATGTTAGGCAAACAAGCTACAGTGTTCATTGAGGGAGTAGTCACTAGATTATACGTACTGGGTAGTGTGGCTGAATTCTCCGTTGTCAAGGGAGATGCTACAGCTGTTGTTAATGAAACACAGTTAGCTGGGGTGGTTTGACTATTTGCAGCAGTTTGAGGATTGGCAGGCTGGCTAACAGACAGTTGTACACAGCTTTGCCCAGCCATCTGCGATATGCTTTGATTGAGGCTGGCCAAAGCGCCAAATGTATTCAGGGCAACATTGGTATTTGGATCTTCGCTGGTGGTGGGTTGAATAATTTGCATAGGGGTTTGACTTGTAGTTCCTGACGAAGACATCACAGGCTGCAAAGCAAAGAGCTGTCCATTTAAAGAAATCGTTTGAGGCTGTTGTTGGTTTGACATGGTTACAGAAAAAGTTTGTGTTGAATTAGATGCTGATAAAGATGAAGGTCTTGGTAATATGTGGACAAGGTGCTTTCCTCCAAAACTCTGTGGGGTCGAAACATTTTGCACTGAATTGTTAGACCCTATGATAGCACTGGCTCCATTGACAGGGAGTCGAACAGAACCGGGAGGTGGAGCGGAGAGGAGTGGCAAAGGGTTCTGATTAGCTGCCTGTATGATTACTATCTGTTGACCTACTGTTTGGTTGGGAACCTCTGCCCTCATCATTGTTGGGCACGGGGTGGTGCTGGGTGGCTGAAGAATGATAACGTTTTGATTAGCAGGAGCTGCGTTAACAGCCGACCCAACTGGCTGAGCCATCTGAATCACTTGCATTGCTGAATTCAATGGAAGGATACTTTTTGGAGGCTGAGATTTAACTTGTGGCTGGGCAATCAGTGACTGCATAGGTAAAGATGGACAAGAAGGCAACGTTACAACTACTTGCTCAACTGGCTGCCCATCTGCTGGAAAGGAATTATTCAAGTTGACGCCTGTAGCCACACATCTACTGTGGTTGGCCGTGGTGGGGCTAGTACCAGACTCATTTAATACTGGAGTCACAGCAGAAGATGGTGTCTGGCTTAAGGGCTGAATAGTGTTTCCCGCCAGTTGCAAAGTAGTCCACGTCGTCTGCGTGTTTCCAGCTGAGGAAATTCGGGTAAGGCTATTAATGTTTTTCAAATCTGAAGCACTAACAGCTGAAGAAGGCAAAGAACAAGAAAGAGTCCAACCACTGTCCACAGGGTTTGCAGAAAGGGTGCTCACGGGGGTGGTGGTCTCCCCTCCTCCAGGGGCAGATGGGGCCACCACCGCAGTAACACTTGTCAAGTCTGCACCCTTGCTAATGCTCGCTGGACAAGAATCACCTGCAGATCTTGGAGGCTGGGAGCAGACTGTCGTGGTAACGGAAACAACAAAGGTGGTTTGAAAGTCACTTCTGCACTCCTGTACGCTCAGGCAGGACTTGCTTCCTTGGTGTCCTCTAGTGGCAGTTGCTGAGTAGCTGGAGGAGATGCTTGTGGCACAAGGGACTGTTTTCTTCAATAATTTGGGGCTCTCTTGCCCATTCTTATTTTCAGAAGAATTTTGATCCTTTAGACATGTGTGCAATGAATGATGCTGGGGTGGTACAGGCCCGACAGGGACAGTCATCAGTGAGCCACTGCTGGCACCAAGCACACTCGACTCACTTTCGGAGGTGGAGACCTCAAGAAGGTTTTGAGCAGAAATGGTAGCAGGAAGACAAAGAGGAACAGGCTGGTTGGCAGCCAGTGCAGAAACCGTGGTCTGATGCCATGGCTTGTTTTCAGAAGGGTAAACTCCAGAAATAGACACAGGAGTCACAAGATTGCAAGTCCTCTGCACTGGCACCACATTGGCAGTTTGCTTCTGTAAATTATGACCAACGTTAAACGTTATCCCCTGAACAGCTGTTCCCTGGCTATTTCCACCAGGCTGACTCCCGCTGGAATAAACAATGATATTCTTTTGAACCTGGTCACTGGGTATAACAACAGAGACCTTTGAGTTTTTAAGATTTCCTTTCCAGTGGATTGTGGGGTCATCATATAAACATATGTCATTTGCTTTTAGTAATTCAATATATCGGCCATTTTCTTTTTGAATTTCTTCCAGTTGTTTACGTAGCTTTTTAATTTCTTCAGCTACAATATCAAAAACAAAAATGAAAAAATTACCTCTAAGTGTCAATATTTATAATAATTTAAGAAACAGCTGTATACTAAACTACTGAATACTAATTTTAGCATTCTAAATACCTCAATTGAGAATCTTCAGCTCTTTTCTAATATAAGTTCTTTCTTCTTTTTAGAATGGTATCTCAAATCTCTATCCTAATCCTTTGAAAAGTATGTATCTTTAAAGGTCAACAATTCAAAGGTCAGAAATTACTCATAATGTAGAACTCTCAAAATTCAAAATAGGGCAGCAAGGAAAGACATACTGATATCACGGTAACACGCTAGGAAAAGAACACTGAATATCAATATAATAGCACTTAAATGTTGCAATAACTAACATTACTTTATGGTGGTAACAGAGAGTTTTTTTTTTTTTTTTTTTTTTTTGCCCCTCTCACCACCTCAGCTGTATACTAAACTACTGAATACTAATTTTAGCATTCTAAATACCTCAATTGAGAATCTTCAGCTCTTTTCTAATATAAGTTCTTTCTTCTTTTTAGAATGGTATCTCAAATCTCTATCCTAATCCTTTGAAAAGTATGTATCTTTAAAGGTCAACAATTCAAAGGTCAGAAATTACTCATAATGTAGAACTCTCAAAATTCAAAATAGGGCAGCAAGGAAAGACATACTGATATCACGGTAACACGCTAGGAAAAGAACACTGAATATCAATATAATAGCACTTAAATGTTGCAATAACTAACATTACTTTATGGTGGTAACAGAGAGGTTTTTTTTTTTTTTTTTTTTTTTGGCCCCTCTGCACGACTTTCAGGATCTCAGTTCCCCAACAAGGGACTTAACCTGGGACCACGGCAGTGAAAGCCCAGAATCCTAACCACTAGGCCACCAGGGAACTCCCGACAGTCTCTTTTATAAATGGCTTTAAACTGGTTTCTATGTTACCCTTTGAAACGACAGAGACCAAGCAGAACATGTAAGAAGTAAGATGGGAGAGTGCTAAAGAAAGCACCACCAGTGAAACTTGCTTTTTCCTTGGTGGGGCCAATGTGTGTATGCTAGTGAGTAATGAAGATATCCGTGATGCCCTACACTGTTTTAAAGGAGACAGCCTCAACCATGGATACTAAGGGTCAGCCTTGGCTGTTGGTATGTATGCTCTGTGGCCCTGTACATCCCCACCTGCCGTGCCATAGTAGGTATTCTCCCCCATTCCCTCCGCCAAAGGCAGCCAATCCTCAAGGCCAGTACCTTATGAGGTAGCCTGAAGTAACAAGTTCTGTTCCAACAAGGAGGAGCTGAGACTATCAGATTGTTTTTCTCAGCTATTTAAAGAAAGAGCCACAGAAGAAAGATGCCAATGTGCTATGGACATTAGAAATTAAAGGACAATTATCATGGACCAAATAATAAAGAAGATGGTTCTCACTTATTGTGCACTTACTCTATGCCTGGCACTTTTCATTCACTGTCTCATTTAATGATGATAATAATAACAACAACAACAACAGATAACATTTATCAAGCATTTACTCTTGTGCTGCGCTTTAAGTGCTTTACCTGTGTTATCTCTTTTAATCCTCATAACAACCACGAGATGGGACAAACACCTTTGTCATCATCACTTTTAGCTGTAAGAAACAGGTTCAGAGTAGCTATATAATTTGCCTAAAGTCGACTAGATAGATGCTATGATTATCCTCATTTTAAGACAGGGAAACTGACACTTGGAGAGGTTAAGTAACTGGCCAAAGGTACTGAGTGAGCAGAGGAAGTCAAGACTCAAACCCAGGTGGGCCTGACTCCCAAGAGCACTGCTGTGGCCACTGTGCAAGACTGTCACGTGGACAGTGAGTATGTGGAGGAGGCTGCTGGGAAAAGAAGAGAGAGCAGATACAAAACAGAACCAAAGAAAGGATCACGACCGCGATGACAACACAGTCGGACTTAAGGGGCCTCGGGTGCTGCCCCAACCCCTGGCCTGGCTGTTCAGCTCTTCCTGAACCGCCTGCAACTTGTATTTCTTCAAGTTTCCCTTTTCCCTAGGGTAACTCGATTGCCTCAGATGCTGGGCTGTGAAACCAGAGGAGCCCTCATTAGAAAAGTCTATACATCACTCTAGCCTTACCATCCCTTTTGTGGGTGCCTCAAAATGGTTACCAAACATTGATTATGTACCTAATTGCCTGACAGCATCATAAAACAGGACCTGGACCATAAAAGACAGCTGACTGAGGGGAGGGGTAAGTTGTCAGCTAACTGAAAGTAAACAAGAATTCAGAATGCCGACCTTCTGGATGTGCTTTCCAGCACTTCTTACAATAAACACAGCCCAGCATTGCTCCCACGTCAGCAAATTCTGAGGTGACCTACTGAGTTGTCACAGGAGATTCTCATTTTTCTTTTTAGCTGTTACAAGGAAACCTTCTCTCCAATGCAAATGGGAAAAGAGAACTCATCTGATAGCATAAAAAAAGTCACCTCTAAAAATCAAATGTCATTAAACGACCAGGCAGTCTCACGCACACATTACATGCAGTATAAACAATTATGAACTGCATGTTTTGGCCTTTGGAGTTAACTCCTAGTTAAGTCCTGGCACAGGCATATCTTTATCTGTTTTAAGTTACACTGAGCAGGACTCCCGCTGCATCCTCTTATGGGATTCCCCTAGCTGGAAGATCCACCTGGAAGGAAGGAGATCCAGTATTATTTGCATCAGGATCCAGTATTATTTGCATCATGAGTTTAGCAAACATGAAGAACAAGAAGAGTAAAAAATCAAAATCGTGTGTGTGCCTACAAGGTTAGAGTTGCTCAAAGAAGGGGGAAAAGAGGTCAACTAGGTTGAATTTATTTGCAACACTATTCTCACAGGCCCACCCAATGCATGATCTTAATGTATTAGGGCAAAAAAGCCTTCTGTATCCTAATATAAGTTGCACTGTGACACAAAGGCCTGAACATTGAAAAAACAACAGAAAGTAAGAATCTTAAAATCTTTACCTTGTTCATTGTTTCCTCCATTAAGCAGGAGTTCATCGTTTTGCCTTTTCAATTCTGTTATATACTTAAAGGCTTGGTCCAGGATCATATTCTTGCTCTGCCAAAGAAAATCAACCATTTAAAAGTTTCGCTGAAGGGTAAGAACTTGCCAGAAGAAAGTTAAAGCTTTGGTTTTTATCACATATATGTGATACGTATCTTTTCAAAATTTAAAACTGCCACCATATTCAACACTTCTACTGTTCCTCTTTCATTTAGTATTTATTGAGGCTCTGTTCTAGGCACTGGGGATATAATAAACTAAAGGGACAAAGTTCCTGACCTTGAGGAATATTATTTATTTATGAGGAACTATTATATATTAATACCTATTTATATTTATAAATAAAATCAGGTGGTGATAAATATAATGAAGAAAAAGCAAGTAGGGTACTTCACTCTCTGTTAATCTAGTCACCTCCCTTGCCCGGTCTAGGTTTGAGTTTAGATGTATCTTTCTCTAGGAACTCTTCCCTGGGCCTCTCTGCTCTAGAACTCTGTATTTCCTTGGCTAGATGGTAGGTATTATTCCCCTCTTACTATGATATTTACTGTGTGCTTTATTATTCCAGATCACAGAAGAGCATAATGGATGGGAGCGCAGATTCCCCCACTTAGCATTTCTGTAACTGGGGAAAGTTACTTACTCTTTCTAAACCTCAGTTTTTCATTTGTAAAATGGGGATAATAAAAGTACGTACCTTGAAGGGTGTGGTAAGGATTAAAGTCTTTAATATAGAGAGAGCATGTAACACTCTGAGAACACAGTTAGTGGGGTATGGAAAATGCTTAATAATTGCTAGCTTCTTGTAGCTACTGTTTGTCAGGTCCTATGTTAAGTACGTCAAATGCATTATTTCTTGGACTCAGAAGAACTATATTGTTTTTCCTTATTTGTTCAGCTTTATTGAGGTATAATTGACAAATAAAATTGTAAGATATTAAAAAAATAATAGTAAAGTAGGGTAAGGAGGGGGCCAGAGAGATGGCAGAGGTTACTCTGTGCTGTGGACTGAATGTGTGTGTCCCCCTACAATTCATGTTGAAGCCCTAATCCCTGATGTGATGGTATTTGAAGGTGGGGCCTTTGGGAGGTAATTAGGTCATGAAGGTAGATCCCTCATGGATGAGATCACTGCCCTTAGAAGAAAAGACATGTGAGAGGTGATCATTCTCTCTGTCATGTGAGGACACAACCAAGAAGAAAGCCCACATCAGGAACCGAACCCGGTGACACCTTGATCTTGGACTTCCAGCCTCCAGAACTGTGAGAAATACATTTTTGTTATTTAAGCCACCCAGTCTATGGTAATTTTCTTATAGCAACCCAAACTGACCAAGACATTCTGCTACAATCTATTTAATATAGGGAGGCTGGGGAAGGCCTCTCTGTAAGGTGATATTTAAGCAAAAATCTGAAGGGAGTACAAGAAATTATGCCCTGTGGATATGTGGAGGAAGAAGGCTCAGGTATCAGGATCAGCAAGGACAAAGGTCCTCAGGCGGGGCTGAGTTTGACATGTTGGAGGAATAGTAAGGAAGTGAGTGAGACTAGAGTCAAGCATATTGGGAACAGTAAGAGGAGAGAGGCTAGAGAGAGCTTTCAAGACCATGGAAAGATTTTAGATTTTAATGTTATTCTTTACTCTGTCAACCACAACTACAAACTGTTCTAAATAGTAGGTTGAGATAACAATGTCACTTGATTGAGTTTTGGTGTCATGCTCCCAATATATTCCATTCCTAAGCTTTCTCAAAATGATCATATTTTATGTCAAAGTTCCTGGATTCTTTACTTAAATTTTTAAAATTGAAAATATAATATATGCATATGGCAAAAAAAAATGTAAATAATATGAAGAGATATATAATGAAAAGTACATTCCCTTTGACTTTAGCCCTCCAAACCCCTTTCCGGAGTCAACAACTGTAAGTTACTTATATGTATCTTTCCAGAAATATTCTATGCCAATACATATATACATATATATGTATATGTGTGTGTATATATATATACACACACACATATATATATATGTATATATATATATATATATATATAAATCTTTTTTTTAAAACCCAGATAGAAGGATACTATAAACAGTATGTTACATGGATGCAACTAAAGATTATCATACTAACTGAAGTAAGTAAAAAAGAGAAAGACAAATACCATATGATAGCACTTATATGTGGAATCTAAACTACAGCACAAATGAACTTATCCATGAAACAGAAAGAGACTCACAGACATAGAGATCAGACTTGTGGTTGCCAAGGGGGAGGCAGGGAGGGAGAGGGATGGACTGGGAGTTTGGGGCTGGTAGATGCAAACTATTACATTTAGAATGGATACACAACAAGGTCCTACTGTACAGCACAGGGAACTATATTAAATCTTCTGGTATAAACCATAATGGAAAAGAATATTTTAAAATAAAGAATGTATATATGTGTATAACTGAGTCACTGTGCTATACAGCAGAGACTGTCACAACACTGTAAGTCAACTGTACTTTAGCAAAAAAAAATTTTAAGTATGTTACATTATTTTGTTTTAATTTTCAAAAATATATTTTGGGGACTTCCCTGGTGGTGCATGGTTAAGAATCCGCCTGCCAATGCAGGGAAACGGGTTCGATCCCTGGTCGGGGAAGATCCTACGTGCCGTGGAGCAACTAAGCCCATGCGCCACAACTACTGAGCCTGCGCTCTAGAGTCCATGTGCCACAACTACTGAAGCCTGCATGCCTAGAGCCCGTGCTCCACAACAAGAGAAGCCACCGCAGTGAGAAGCCTGCGCACCGCAACAAGGAGTAACTACCGTTTGCTGCAATTAGAGAAAGCCCACGTGCAGCAACAAAGACCCAGTGCAGCCAAAAATAGGAGTAACTACCGTTTGCTGCAATTAGAGAAAGCCCACGTGCAGCAACAAAGACCCAGTGCAGCCAAAAATAAAATGAATTAATTAATTAAAAAATATATTTATATATCTTGGATGGTATGGTCATTTTATGGATCTTCGAATCCTTGAGCATGGTATATCTTTCCATCTGTTTGTGTTGTCTTTAATTTCCTTCATCAGTGTCTTAAAATTTTCCAAGTACAGGTCTTTTACCTCCTTAGTTAGATTTATTCCTAGGTATTTTATTCTTTTTGATACGACTATAAATGGGATTGTTTTCTTAATTTCTTTTTCAGATAGTTTGCTGTTAGTGTATAGAAACATAACAGATTTCTGTATATTAATTTGTATCCTGAAACTTTACTAAATTCATTAATGAGTTCTAGTAGTTTCCTGGTGGCATCATTAGGATTTTCTATGAAGAGTACCATGTCTTCTGCAAACAGTGACAGTTTTTCTTCTTCCTTTCCAATTTGGATTCTTTCTATTTGCTTTTCTTATCTGATTTCTGTGGCTAGCACTTCCAGTACTATGATGAGTAAAAGTGGCAAGAGTGGGCATTCTTTGTCTTCTTAGAGGAAATACTTTCAGATTCTTACCATTGAATATGATGGTAGCTGTGGGCTGTCACATATGGCTTTATCATGCTGAGGTATGTTTTCTCTAAACCCACTTTGTTGAGAGTTTTGATCTTAAGTGGATGTTGAATTTTGTCAAAAGCTTTTTCTGCATCTATTGAGATGATTATATGATTTTTATTCTTCAATTTGTTAATATGGTGTAAACACACTGATTGCTCTGCAGATAGTGAACCATCCTTGCATCCCAGGGATAAATCCTTCTTGATCATTGTTTATGATCCTTTTAATGTACTGTTGAATTCAACTTGCTAACATTTTGTTGAGGATTTTTGCGTCTACGTTCATCAGTGATACTGGCCTGTAATTTTTGTGCTCATGGATTGGAAGGACTAATATTGTTAAAATGAGCATACTACTCAAGGTAATCTACAGATTCAATGCAATCCCTATCAAAATACCAATGGCTTTTTTCACAGAACTAGAACAAATAATTTTAATATTTGTATGGAAACACAAAAGACCCCAAATAACCAGAACAATCTTGAAAAAGAAGAACAAAGCTGGAGGTATCATGCGTGATTTCAAATTATACTACAAAGCTACAGTAATCAAAACAGTATGGTACTGGGACTTTCCTGGTGGTCCAGTGGTTAACACTCCATGCTTCCAATGCAGGGGATGTGGGTTCAATCCCTGGTCGGGGAACTAAGATCCCACATGCCGTGCGGCATGGCAAAAATAAATAAATAAATAAACAAACAAACAGTATGGTACTATCATAAAAACAGACACATAGAGCAATGAAATAGAAATAAACCTATGCACTTATGGCCAATTAACCTATGACAAAGGAGGCAAGGATACTTTGGGGAAAAAGACAATCTCTTTATTAGGTGGTGCTGGGAAAACTGGACAGCTACATGTAAGAGAATGAAATTAAAACATTTTCTCAGACCATATACAAAAATAAACTCAAAATGGATTAAAGACCTAAATGTAAGACTGAAAACCATAAAACTCCTAGAAGAAAATATAGGCAGAACACTGTGACATAAATTGTAGCAATATTTTTTTGGATCTGTCTCCTCAGGCAAGGGAAACAATAGCAAAAATAAACAAAAAGGACTACATCAAACAAAAACTAAGACAGTGTCCTTTCATAAAGCAAAAGTTGAGACAAAGGCAGAACCTGATAATGCCCACCTACTGCACAGTAAATGAAACTATCAACAAAACAAAAAGGCTGCCTACTGAATGGGAGAAGATATTTGCAAATGATATATCCAATAAGGAGTTAATATCCAAATATACAAAGAACTCATACAACTAAATATCAAAAACCAAACAACCCAATTAAAAAATGGGCAGAGGATCTGAATAGACATTTTTCCAAAGAGGAAATGCAGATGGCCAACAGGCACATGAAAAGATGCTCAACATCATTATCATGAGGGAAATGCAAATCAAAACTACAATGAGATATCACCTCCCACCTTTCAGAATGTCTGTTATCAAAAAGACAACAGGGACTTCCCTGGTAGTCCACTGGGTAAAACTCCGTGCTCCCAGTGCAGGGGTCTGGTTTCTATCCCTGGTTGGGGAACTAGATCCCACATGCATGCCACAACTAAGAGTATGCGTGCCACAACTAAAGATCACGCATGCCACAACGAGGATCCCATGTGCCGCAACTAAGACCTGGAGCAACCAAATAAATAAATAAATAATTTTTAAAAACAGAAAAAACAAACAGAACCCAAAAACAACAAATAAGAAGTGTTGGCGAGGATGTGAAGAAAAGGGAACCTGCATGTCCCGTTGGTGAAAATGTAAATTGGTGCAGTCACTATGGAAAACAGTATGGAGACTCCTCAAAAACTTAAACACAGAATGACCATACAATCAAGCAATTCCACTCCTGGATATTTATCCAAAGAAAACAAAAATACTAATTCCTAAAGATATATGCATCCCTATGTTCATTGCAGCATTATTTACAATAGCCAAGATATGGAAACAACCTAAGTCCTCATCAATAGATGAATGGATAAATAAGATGTGATATGTGTGTGCATATATCTATATCTACACTATACTTTCTAAAGGCTGTATTTATTTTGTTTACCAGTCTATTACTGATAAATACTTAAGCTATGAAAGAGAAATTTCGTTTTTTTTATTCTTCAGCTTTTAAAAATGTTACAGTGAATGTTTAAGCTCTACCCAGTATTTATACTATTAAATATCTCCAGTACTTTATCTGATAGCTCTCTTCATGTAGGAGTCAGTGATTTAGGGCTTTGATTCAGCAAGTTACAATTTTGGGTCCCTTAGGCTGGGTCCCATCAGAAATCCAGTATAACCCAGGAAACACTGTACTTTAGAGAAAGAAACTAAGATAGTGTCCTTTCTTAAAGCAAATGTCGAGACAAAGGCAGAACCTGATAATGCCCACCTACTGCTTCTCTACTGCAGATGAGGGTGGGGACATGCGGCAATAGTTAAGAAAATCTAAATCTATTCAGCTTCTGGAGACCAAATACTGACTTCCACTGCACATTCTAGGACACCAAGAAAAGAGAAATGATTATGGTTTCCTTTCAGAGAAACTTGTAGGAATAAAAGCCAAGAGGAGGAACATTTTATTGGGCAAACACCAGTGCTTAGTGAGCAGTTACTATACATTGATATGTGGAGAAAGAAAAACAATCAGAAGACATAGTACCTGCCCTTAAGTTTGCCTGTGTGTTAAGGAAACAGAAAGTACCTTTTTAAAAAGACTAAAAAACACATTTATGCAAGACTAGGTACCATCTTGTAGGGGAGAATGAAAAGAAACTGAATTGTAAGACCTTGCTGAGGGAGACAGTGTTGTGAAGTGAACACATTGATCTGTCCCTCCCCACCAAAAGCCTGGGATGGTTTGGGACTGGGAAGCTCCAGCTACCCCAGAAGGTGGGGTGAGGCATGGGTTAAAACTGAGGGGACTGATAGAAAGATTCTTCTTTTGCAGTAATAAGAACCACACACTCACACACACACACACACACACACACACACACACACACATCCTATGCAGCTGGATGACTTCCCCTCTTCCCCAACCACAGGAGACAAGTTTATTTTCTGTGAAATTTGAACCAGAAGATTTCAGCCTCAAGGATACTTACTTGGCACAGAAGTGGACAAGATGAGGCTCCTAAACGAAAACAGGGAGGTAAAGTAAAATCCTGCCTTCTAAAGCATGAGACTCTCCAGCATCCCTTCCCCATCCCAGCTCCCAGAAAAATGGCAATGAGCCTTATAGTTCTTTTCCCACCATTCCCACTCCTAGGTAGGGTGCTGAAGGATCCTTCTCCGGAAAATAAATTAATAGCTAACCCCAAAAGAAGAAATCTACAAATACTGATACTGTTTAGTTCAGCAACAATAACAACAACATCAGCTCACTAGCCAATCACCAGACAGTTAGGACCACCAAACCACAGCCTGTTCAATCAGCTTTTTAATGTCTCGTTCTCAAATATGAAAAAGACAGCTAAGTATCATTAAATATTTAAGGAATGTCTCCAAAAAGAAAGGCAAAACATCAAAACAGAGGAGGGGAAAAGGAAATCAGAAGAAACAAAGACAATATAGAAAATAGAAGAAACATTTTAAAAAACCAAAATCCTATATAATATCCTCAAAGCTGAGATGATATTATATCCATAAAAAAACATGTATGAAAAGGAACAAAGAGAGTAAGAAAAATAGACTTGGAAATTAAAAATATAAGAGCTGAAATTATAAACAGAACAGTTGAAAGAAACCAACTAATTGAGATTGAAAAGGAAGGGTAGAGGGTTCCAGAAGTAAAGGAAGGAAAAATTGGGAAAATGGAAATTATGTGGCAATTTGACCATATAGAAACTGTAGTAAGAGACTGTTGGAGGTGTGGAAAGAATTAAAGATAGGCAGGTATATAGAAAACTGAGCAAATGAAAAACAATGAGGCAATTATTAACTCTAAAAAACCATTAATGGCAGGGAACAAAAATAATCATTCTGAGCACAGAAACAACTTAGGGAATTATCTGATCACAAGCAACTGGTGAAAGTATGAGTGGATTTCTTACCTGTTTCAGCGCCGGGGAGCATGGGATCAGCTCTCCTATTCTGTTTATCCCAGCATTGATTTTCTTCTTTCTATGCCTCTCCACTAGATAGAGGAAAAATTCATTTATCAAACCTTACAGTACTACTGCCAAAGTGTCTCATTCTCCCTGGGTAAAGAAATTTTAGGTAAAGAAATACCTAAGAAAGTCTTATCAAATAGTATCTACTGAATACAAATAACTACAATAAGATTTCTAAGAATGTCATATTCTAGGTTTAGTGTTATGGAAATCAATATAAGCCATACCTTTTATTAGGATTTAAAATAATGGAATCTATAATAATTAAATTCAAATTATAAACACAAAGTGCTAATACTACATTACTCTTAGGCCATTATTATATTTCAAGTAATTATTAGAGATTTTAATGATAACTAAATTACAATAACCCACTAGCTATGTTACTAGAAAGCTGCTTCTTTATAGCAAATGGGCAAATTAGACCTTTCTAGACAGATTAAAGAACTTTAACACACCTTTTAGGCTGACTAGAAGGCATTTTTGGAATAGAAACGGCTATTAGTTGTGACTTAAAATAGACAAGAAAAGGCACTGGTTTATTTTTTTCTATGGGGTCTGTGCTGTTCACTTTGGCCTATCTAAGAAGCTGAACAACTGACAACTTCTCAATTAACCGAGCAATGTTCCAGGCTTACGTGCTACAACTTTAAAAGCTGTATGAAAGGGGCAAGAAGATACAAGCGATGATCTAAATAGTTTTTCTATAAGACACTGTAAATAGAAAAATCAGTCTACTTTCTGTTAGTTTTCTAAAACCTTCCTTTTAACAAAGGACTTCAGCGCTTCTAAGAGGATGATCTTTCAGATATAGCATAAGTAGGTCTTGTTTTTCAAAATATATACTTTTTGCTTCATAATCTAGCAGTAAGAACATCCTTTCAATGACATCCATTTACCCTCTCTTAATAAATTACTATCAGGACATATTTATGGTCCCATGTGACATTTGATTCTAATAAAAAGATTTAGTTCATATGGCCAAAAAAATAAGATTTATTGATGTGGCCAAAAAAAACCCCCCACAAAGCAATGAACTATAGCTCACCTTTCTTCTGAATTCTCTAACAATAGTATTTGCTGTTATCTAAGAGCATATTTTTTAATGTGTGTAGATAAAACAACAAGAACAACAACATTAAGACTCTATCCACAGTGATAAAAGGGAATTCAAAGGTAGTAAACTCCCATTCTGGGGAACAGCAATGTCCTACCAGTGTTCAACACATCTTTGCATAGATACAGTTTTCCCCAGGGTCCTTTCCTTAGGGAAGGGAAGAGATTATTTATAGAGTAATAGAAATTGAGTCTAAAATATATATTTTTAGTTCTGAGTGTAGTCCCTGATGGAAAATAAAATGTTAAAAATGTACCAAATTGTCAATGTATGCACAATTACTTCTATAAATGTTTACCTGGCTGTGGCCTATAATTCTGATGTTTGAGATAAAAATCAAATATTTTTTTCTACATTTCTTCTTATAATTGAGAACTCCACAGCTTAATTTAAGACTGTTCACATTTCAAGTACCTTTAAGATCTACAGCCTGCTCCCCATTTCTTCCCTACTCCTGTAGGCAGCTAGCCCACTCCAGAATTTCTGCAGAGGTACATACTCTTCACTCTTTTTAGGAGGAGTATATCTGGAATTCCCCAGTGGGTGAAATCACTTAAAACACTAGCTCCAGGGGTATATTAATCCTTAAATTATTTAATAGACTATGAATCAGAAAATGATAAGCCATCTTCATGAGACTTAGGGAGTATTTTGTCAACTAAAAACAATATAGATTAAGTTATTTTGTATAAAATAAGTAAGATACAAGGGTATATTGTACAACACAGGGAATACAGTCAATATTTTATAATAACTATAAATGGAATATAACCTTTAAAAGTTTGAATCACTATGTCGTACACCTGTAATTTATATAACATTGCACAAGTGTACTTCAATATAAAAAATGCAAAAAAATAAATAAATAAACCAAACAATAAAGGAACACTTTCCTAAAATGTAATGAATAATGATTCTGTGCTTATAACATAAAAACACAGTCAACTGCAGTATAATTTCATTTTGAATGCAAAAAATGCTAACAAATAAAACTTAAATTGCTGTTTCTACCTGCATTGTGTGTCTCCCGATTTTTCTTTCTGAAACAAAAAGTACAGATAAAAGGAACATGAAAATAATAGGAAAACATTTTACTTTATATTTTGAGAACCATAAAAATTAATTTTATGAATTTGTATTTGTTGTATCAATGAGAAGCCATTTGAAGGAAAATTTTCTTAATAATATATTATGGCATAAAAACCTAACTGCAGATACATCAATATAAACTTAGAATTCACAATTTCTCAAAGTAACTACAATTCTCCATTTTTCCATACCCAGAAGTCACTGGATGGGAAGTAAGTCAATCATTGAAAATCTTACCTATTTGAAAAATGTTCTTAAGGGGCTAGTCAGCTCTCTAAGTGATGTGCCAAGTACAGCTGCCCCTTGAACAACATGGGTTTGAACTACACGGATCCACTTATACTTGTATTTTCTTCAATGGTAAATGCTACAGTACCACAGGATCCGCAGTTGGTTGAATCCATGGATATGGAACCGTGGATATGGAGAACTGTGAACAGGAGGTCTGGCTATACCCCTAGCTACACACTGTTCAAGGGTCAACTGTCGGTGATTTCTTTTTTTTTATAAATTTATTTTATTTTTATTTATTTATTTTTGTCTGCGTTGGGTCTTCATTGCTGCACGCGGGCTTTTTCTAGTTGCGGTGAGTGGGGGCTACTCTTTGTTGCAGTGCATGGGCTTCTCATTGCAGTGGCTTCTCTTGTTGCAGAGCACGGGCTCTAGGCGCACGGGCTCAGCAGTTGTGGCTCACAGGCTCTAGAGCGCAGGCTCAGTAGTTGTGGCGCACGGGCTTAGTTGCTCTGGGGCATATGGGATCTTCCCAGACCAGGGCTTGAACCCATGGCCCCGGCATTGGCAGGTGTATTCTTAACCACTGCACCACCAGGAAAGTCCCTGTAGGTGATTTCTGATGTTTGCTCTGGCACCTGGCCAGGGGTAGGGATGAGTATGTACAAAAAACAAGCAATGGTACAGAAGAAACTTGTAATCCCCAGGGAGGGAAGTGTGGTAGTCACTAGCACTCACGCACTAACAACTGGCATCTGAGCCATCTTTTGCATTTATGTACCTTAGGTTATCCAAACTCTTACATTTTCTTAAAAGCTAATCTACTAAAAACACCAATTTTCCCTTTTATGTACAATTACTCAATACCTAAGAATTCTCTAATAGCTATTTGGTAAGGAAAGAAAATAATGATTTTAATATTTAATAATGGAAGCGTTGGCCATGAAATTCTAAGCAGAAACATTGCCCAAAATGCTAGAAATTTTGAAGGAGATATTATACAAAGAACCAGAACTAATACTGTACTAATGTGCATATTGGCATTAATGGTTTGTAATGTCACAAAATGTCTGCTCAAACTGACTGCAGCCTAAGTGAACTTAGTATCCACCACAAAGACTAATATTGAATGCACGTAAAAATTTCAGGAGAGACTAAACATTTAGCATAGATTAGGTATTATACTATTTTAACTACTGATAGTCATTTTATTTCTTACACTGCTAGTAGAATTTAAAGGACAGGTAAATTTTAATTATGTACCCCTTTCAGTAAATCTATTTATATTTATCCACACCTATTTTTGAAGAGTAACGGTTTTCTAGGCATCCAAATGAAAGTTCCCTAAAGGACTACCTATTTAGCAAAGTGGGGACTAATTCTGCCTCTTATCTGCCAAACTGTATTATTTTTGGATTGTGTCTTCATACCTGTGCTGCTTTTTTGTAGGAGTCTCATTCTCTGTCATTTCTGGCATGGTTACAGTGATAGGAACCTACAAGGCATGGAAAGACATGTCAGAAAGTCTAAAGGCATTCTAGTATCTTGGAGAAACTGATTAATAGCAATTTGGTTTGAATACCAAGACACTAAGAAATAAAAGTGACATCATGAAAAAGCACTGGATTAGGTGTTGTAGATAAGTATAAGAAGATAGGACAAAAAATATTATAACCAGCAGGTGGAGAACATGGTGAATGTCAAATGTGAGGTATAGCCAGAAAGTGCTTGAGAAGATTGGAGGAGAGAAGGGTCATTATAGGTTTGGAAATCAAGAAAAGCCTAAAGGGGGTGTAGATTTGAGCAAGACCTGGAAAGACAGGTAAAACACACTTGTTGGGAGAGTATGTTCTTTGTTCATGATACTGTTTGTTCATGACACAAAATTTAAAACAATGGTCCTCCTCTCTGAACGCAGAAAAAACAAGTGACAAGTACAACAAATAAATAATATTCCATACATGGAAGCAAGCATTCATTCATTTATTCATTCACTCATTTGCCAGGCTTCTTTCATTTCAAACTGCTAGAAGTCTTAAACATTACCACTTGAGAATCATTAAAATCTGAGTTTGAGTATGAAAATTCTATTTATATTTAAAATATCATGATACTAAAGAATATATGTACACTATGGAAATATACACCTATGCCAAAAAAGCCTGAAAGCAAATACATTAAAATATTAATCACAGTTATATAAGGCCAGGAATATTACAGGTGACTTCTTTCTCTTTTCTGATTTTTCAGAATTTTGTAATGACAACTTTAATGCTTTTAAATCCCAGGGATTGACAACTTTTCAAAAGAGGTCTGTCAAGTTGGGATACCTGTTCTGATACCCTGGAGGAGGCTGCAAGAGCAGTTTCCTATTTTCTCTTTGAGAGAAAAAGAAGGCAGCAAGTAAGGAACCAAAGTCAGCGTGAGCTTAAAATCTGGTTCTGCCATTTCCTAGCTGTGAGGTCCTGGGCAAGTTATGTTACGTCCTGGAACCTCAGATGCTTCATCTCGAAAGTGGATCATAATCACAGTATCTAGATTATTGGGCTGTTTCAAGAAAGGAATGATGAAATAATGCAGGGAGAGGACAACAGCATGGTGCCTAGCTGTAGTAAGAATTTAATCAACATTAGCCATGGATATTAATGAGGTATTTCAGGTTAAGGCTTTAGCTCTAGAAAGGAGGGGGAAGGGTCCTGGGAAAGAAGGAGACGTAGATGCAGACAAGGTGCTGACAGAAAAGTACTAACTGAAGCAGCCTGAGGAGAAATGTGTGCTCTAGACCCATTTCCAGCAGCTTATTCCACCTTCTCCCTAACATTTATGAAGGTCCAGATCAGCCTAAAAAACAAGTTCACATTAGATAACCATAGAATGACAATGCGGGACACGTGAGTAAATAAATCAATCCCTGTCACCTTTCTCACCCAAGGGCTTGCAGAATTTCTTCACTTTTGATTCCTGGCTTCCAACGCCTCCCGTTTCTGAACCAAATCTATCATCTTCTGCCAGAAGATGGTCTATAAGTTATGTTTTCTTCTTACTACACAAGAGAAAAATCAGTGAATGTTTATAGGTTTCCATTAGCAGCATGGAAAACAAGGACTAGCAACCTAGAGCAGCAGGCAGGGCGGTTTTCCGTGGCATACAGAATGATCCTGAATTCTCCCCACCTCTCAAAAGTTAATGAACCTGGTTGCTTTCAAAAGTCACTTCCCCGTGGGTTATGAGTGCTCCACCCTGCACAAAGATGGTAGCACAGCAGCCATTGGACAGTCTCCAGGAGGTGATTCTCCCCTTTCTCATGCATGCTCAGTTTTCCTTGCCCTCTGCTGTCCTCAATTCTAAAATTATCTTTCCTTCAATCTCCCACTTCCCCATTCTCTCTTGTGCAAATGACTGAAAACTTACTCAAGGACCTACCACTAAGGCACCAGGAAGACAGCCCTCAGATCTGTGCATTGTCTGTGCTCTTAAAAAATGCAAATATGGGGGGCGGGATTCCCTGGTGTTAGGACTCGGCGCTTTCACTGCTGGGGCCTGGGTTCAGTCCCCGGTCGGGGAACGAAGAGCCCACAAGCCTTGCGGCATGGCCAAAAAAAAAAAAGCAGATATATGGGGGCTTCATCCCAGACAAATGAGAAGTGCTAGGTAGGGCCCAGGAATCTGTATTTTCAACAAGGTCTCTGGGTGATTTTTTTCTTTTTCTTTTCTTCTTTTTTTTTTTTTTTTGCGGTACGTGGGCCTCTCACTGTTGTGGCCTCTCCCATTGCGGAGC